TCTCTTTTACACCATTTTTTTTTGCTTCTTCAATCCTTTCAATAATTTTGTAAACTGAATAAAATTTGCTGACATACCAAAACAAAAACAAAACAAAAAACACCAACAAAGCTTTCCTGCCATTTATTCACATGCTCATTCTGGCCCTTACTTCCACCCCCAGGGTCAGCAGAAAGCACAATGGAACTAGCTCCTATTTAGGTCAAACAGAGGGTTTTGAAGCCTCCTTGTGGGAGGAAACAGAAAACTTTGAACTACAAGTCATCAGTGAAATTTCTGCCTGAAATTCTGCTCTGCTCATAGCACACCATATAGACGAGAGACTGTCAGCATGTTTCTATTAGACTGCASACGCTTCCTTGAAAAAAAAGCTATGAAAACATGTATTAAATTGATTTTATAGAAATGTTTTGCAGCAACTACAGACGTCTCAAGATAGTTTTCTTCCTAGCTCACTTTTGTTAGAAAACACTTAACTCTCCCTGACAAACACACCATGAAGACCATGTCTTCTTATTGCTAACAAGAACTGAATTCCAAACACACACACACACACACACACACAGTAAAAGAACTTATCAAACAGAATCCATCTTTTATAATACCAAACCTTCTATTTCAGTCTCTGACTTTGCTCTAGTTTTATCCATTTACTTAAGAAGTAAGGCTCAGAGCACTCAAATGGTATCAAAAGGTTTCTCTGTCATGAAATTGCTTTAACAGTGTATTCTTGGTTAAAAAAAAAAAAAAGGAAGCAGGAAGGAATAGAATTTACATACTAAAATATAAATAAGAAAGGTGGAGAGGGGGAAGTAATGTCCCCTTTTTTTCCACTCAAAGATGGCAGTGAGAGAATAAAACAGTACAGCAAGTTCAGGGGACTTGAAAGCCACTGAAGTGCATTCTCACCAAGAAATGAAAGGACAGCTATTGCACTCCAACCAACTCTGCAAAGTCTGCTAACTTAGAAATACCTCAACCATAGAGTCCAAAGGACTGTCACTGACATATCCCAGTTGGGTCTGATGTGATTCCATTATATCACTGAGACTGGCCTTCCTGAATGTTGCATCCACAGAAGCTACCAAGCAGATGGCTAGATTTCAACCTGTCATAGCACATGAATGATGATGCCAAGAGGAAAAACATGTCACTAACGCTTACACCACACTGACCTCAGAATGATCATCCATTAACTTTTCCTTATTCATACCTAGGGTGTAAGTTTTTACCATGTTTTCTCACAGTTATTTCAAGTGAGGCACAAATATCTCCAAATTTCACTTTTGCAATTTTAAGTTACAATGAGGCACAGAGAGTCTATAGTAGGGAAACCAAATTGTCAACTACTGGCTGAGGCTTGCAACTCTTACCCCTTTAGTAAGTAGAAAGGAAATAATACCTAGATTTTAATATGGCTTTCTCTTAAATATCTAACCCTTCCTAAATATCCAGATTAAACTATTATTCTCCCTGGAAATGTTAGCTGCAAACTCAGTACCTAAAACCAATATTCCAAGGGCAGCTGATGAGAAGCTCAGTTCTGCACAATTTCACACTTGACTTCTCTGAAGTGSCCAATCACTGGCACTGGGGAGGCTTCACAACTAGCAGCAATCAGATGAGGTTTGCAATGATAACGTTGGGTTAACTTGCCCCCAGAGCAGACAAACCTGACTTTAAGGTAAAACACCTAATGCCTTAGTCAGCAGAACAAACTAAGTCTGAACCTGGGTTCAACCAGGCTGTGGTGATGAAAATCATAGCTGATATTTCTCGCCTAAAATGACTTGCAAAATTTTGAAGATGCCTTTAAAGTTGCAGGGAGTGGGTGGGTAGGTTTTTTTAATTATTAAATATTTTTATTAGTTGTTGATGGACCTTTATTTTATTGACAGGTGGTGCTGAGACTTGAATTGAACCCAGTGCCTCACACATGTTGACAAGTACTTTACTACTGAGCCACAACTCCAGCCCCTAGGTGAGATGGAGATCCATAGATGCAACTAAAGATTGTGAACAGCAGGTGTTCTTTAGAGACCAACCAACCACCACCACAACAACTGAGGATTGAACTCCAGGGCACTCAACCTCAGACACATCCCTGGCCCTACTTTGTGTTTTATTTAGAGGCAGGGTCTGAGTTGCTTAGTGCCTTGCTGTTGCTGAGGCTGGCTTCCAATTCGTGATCTTCCTGTCTCAGCCTCCTGAGCCATTGAGATTACAGGCGTGCACCACCGCGCCTGGCAAGAACAAAAAATTTTAAAAGCCTCTGTGACACACTTATTTCATAAGAGAGAGAAAAGATGATGCTAAGGATAGCACCCCAGGCCTTGTACATGCTAAGTAAGCATTCTATCACCAAGCTACATCCACCAGGCCTAGAGCACATTTTAAAGGTAAACCAAGAACCTATTTGGAGTTTCTGTCAATTTGAACGGAAACTTTTGGACCTTATGGAGTACTAAATATCCCTCAATATAAGCACCGATCAATGTAGTTTTCATTTAAATGCTACTTCCTATACAATACAAAGTTCAAAATCACACGATCTTCTATATATTCTAAGACTTCTTGGAAAAGCAACTATTGACTAATACCAAACAAAACAACCCATTACTTATTCTGTAATCGCCATTAGTGGGTTTTTAAAAATATGTATTTTTAGAATTTTGTCATCCTCTGTTAAAGAAATCTTTCAAAGACTTTAAGGGAAATAGTGAAATCAGATTTACAACATGACAAATGATGAAGCTGTCACCTATACACAGATGTTTTGTTACAAATACAATTTRACAAACCTGGCTAATGAGATACAAAAGCTTCTAATAATTTTAATTAAAATTGAAAGCTGTAGCCTCAGAACTTAATTTTTGTTGAGAAAAGTCTGAATTAAGTGACAAGTTTACTGGTGTATTCTGAGTTTTCCAACTAGTAGGGAAGAGAGTACAACTGAGGTAGGTTGTTCTCTCCTGTTATCTTACTTGGGTTCTGGGTTTTCTTCTTCTACTCAGTAATCCTGAGTTCTACATGGAAGCTTCAAGAGACTCCAACTATGTTCTGATTATTCAAAATGTTTCAAGAAAAAAAAAAAAAAAACTAGGGTGCTACTCAGTGACTTAYCCTTGGTTCAAACATTAGGCTAAGATTTCAGTGTTTATTCCGCATGTTAACAGCAAGAACTCAAGGCCTATGATGTGCCTTCTGTGATCCTAACCATTGAGTTTAGAAAGTTTTTGTGCATCAGAAATGTAATAATTGAAAAGTAATCTTTTCCTTTCCATGTTTTTCACATGTATCAATATCAGTTCCTTCAGATGTCAACAGAAATAACCAATAAGGGGTGGGAACATAGCTCAGTTGGTAGAGTGATTGTCTTGCATGTACATGGCCTTGGTTTCAATCACCATGCACCACCAAAAAAAGAAAGAACCAATAAATGTGGCAAATTCTTAAAACTAGCTAAGTCATCATGACCCAGTCATTTTATTACCCTTTCACAATGTCTGTTACTTATAAATGATTTAGGAAGACATGTAAGTTTACATAGTTCATACTTCAGCAGTTTTCAAATTTTCTATTTCCAAAGGGCTCATTTTTCCTCTTTCGTGGCTTGACCTTTAGTGTTCCACTGATGGTGACTATTATCAAACWAGATTTACTGCAGAATCTTTGCTTTCTTTTTTTTTTTTAAAGTCAATTTTATACTATAAAATTTGGAGCTTTTATTTTTTCCAATGCAGTATTAAAAAAAAATCTCTTTACATCTCAAAAATTATGAGATCACAGGGAGTAAACAAAATTTGCATTACAGACTACACACAATGCTTGGCTTAAATAAATGGCTTTTCCTGAGGGGTTGAGCCTCTTAATCAAAAAAAAAAAAAAAAAAAAAAAAAAAACTTCTTAAAAAAAAAAACTTCTTAAAAGTAAATGTCCTCTGTCTTTATGTAATCAAATGAACCTAGAAAATTTTTGTTCACTTAGTCACAGAGATTTCTTATAAATATATCAAGTTTTGACATCAAACATGTCTAACTTATAAATAATAAATGGCTTCGGTGAAGAGTCAGAGGTATTAAATATCAGTAATTTCAATATACTTTTAGGATCCTTTTCTCATTTCTCAGAGCTTTAGGGGGATGCACAGATACTAACCTATTAAAAACAAAATGGTACAACTAGGATCAGATTTGGACTTTGGAAGTCAATGCTGGAGTAAATTTCTTTTGTAAAGTGAATTTCTTTCTTTCTTTTTTTTAAATAGCTGCACAAAAGAATTAGGAGCTCCTTCATGTTTTCTTGATAAGCAAAAAAAAAAAAAAAATGACAGCACATAGTAGAATTTAAGGGTAATGAGGCTATAAAGTTATGATAGCCATAGAATGAATTAAAGAGCTCCTTTAGCACACCTTTGTAAACCATGTTTCATAGAAAGGCCAATTCTCCCCAATGGCACTGCTATATATAAAACTTAGGAGACAAAAAACTGCAACTAGGCAAATTTAAAAGGTTAGCATGTGTTGCTTAATTTTTGAATGTACAGTGATTTTAGTTTATAGAAAACATTCTGACACAAAAAGAAGCACAAACTTGAGATGGGACAGARAGAAAAATGGTATTTTTAAAAACAGTGGGCTCCCTAATGATTACAAATGTAAATGAATAATAGGAACGTGCTATCCACAAAAGAGGAGAAGATAACAGGGGCGGTGGGGGGGGGGGAGGACACGACTGGGGTCTAATAAAAGGGCAACTTTCTAGTGAAGACACAATTTTAAAATGGAACTCAAAATGAATACTTATTATAATAGACAAAATTACTGCTGGTTATATATGCAAAACAAGTTTGAGAAACCAGCATATAGAATAAACAATACAGATATAGATTTTACTACATTTAAAATTACTTAATAATGCCCTTTAACTTTTAACTTGCAAATGACACAAAGAAAAAATTTTAATGTACAAATGAATCAAAGTATCTGCCCACAATGTTGAACGTGGAATAGAATCAAACATTTATAACCTCAACTGTGACACTGTGTCAAATTGTACTGAGAAAATAAGACAAATGGGGACACCCAACAGTTATTTCAAACAAAAAGTAAATACATTGTCATACATTCCCTTTGTATTCATTGTTTAGTATTTTTGACTTTTATGAAATCTTCAAAYAACAATAACATACGGAAATAGTGATATGTAAACTTTAAGTAGTGAAATCTTGGACTCTTAAGGTGTTTTTTTTTTCTTTTTTACATTCAGGGTAACTTATATTTTAGAACTAACAAATTATTTCAGAAGATCATCTAACTGTCACAAACAAGCAACATGTATATACTGCAATTTTATTTCAATCGCACAAAATGAAGTTAGCGCGTAGGAAATTTAAATGAAACAGTTATGGTAAAAACAGCAGAGAACTGAAAAAATCTAAAAAGGAAGTACACCTAGAGCATGAAAATTCAACATTCATTAGTGTTTCATCTTCAGTTTTGATTGACACTTGATGCTTGCAAATTTTTAAACAAACTTTTAAATCATGATGACTATTCTGAAGAGATTTCAGCACCAGCACTAAGATTTGTACATTCAGTTTGTTTGCAATTGACTTGTTAGCCATTTACATAGTGTATAGTACAGATTTGTCACAGGTCAGATCACAGTGTTGAGGAAAGCAGTACCTTCCTGTAATTAGAAGGGATCCCTAAACTGTACTCAGCTTAAGATATCCAATGTATAAGAGCACAAAACCCATCATAATAATGTGGTTCCAAGGACATAGTTTTGATTAGGAAAATATCTTAAGCTTCTGTTTCCCATTTTAATTACTGAAATCTCTAACAACAACAGGACTGTCATATATGACAGCAAAAGTGTAGAGTAGTTCAAACTTCTTGGAAGGAACACATTTAGCAGTCTGGGATAATGCACAATGATGGAAAATATAGCATGATTCAACACTGGTTCTTTTTTGTCATTTTACACAGACATCATGTTAATATTAGACCAAGGCACAAAACGTTTAGTGCATAAACCAGTTTCTTTTAAGATTTAGCATTTTATTTTAGTTTTTTAACCTTACTTTGGACCACTTGTACTCAGTACTCTACCCACTATAGACTATTTAACTTACCCAACAAAATCAAAAGTGATTTCTGACCAGATTTAATAGGGGACATAAACATTTATATTATCAAAGTGTCTAAAAGAACAATAATAAAGATGAAAATGCCTCCTATTTCCTTTAGAGAATAGTAATTTATAAGCTTGCTGCATCTTTAATGCCTTTACTACTATCACATGACAATGAATACTTGAGAGAAAAAAGACCTGTTTACTCTTGAATTATGATAGCTCACCCATCACAGTTTAATCTAAAAATGAAGTTTCTACAGAAACAGAAACTATTTTAACAAGGAAAAAATTCCCTCAAACTTTTTTGTAGTGGTAACAACTGCAAATCTGCAGAGTGTAGAAAATTATGCTATCAATAAGCTTTGTCTTAGAACTGAGATGTACAAAATCTAGAAAGCAGATGAAGGTAGATTATTTCTTCCGAATTTTAGTGTAAGATTTGATTATAAGAGAATTCAAAGCAATTATGGCACATAACAACTCAAGCATAAGATGGAGAGCCTGGAGAATGGTTGATTTCCTAAATTTTCCAGAAATATGTAATTGTAACATATAGGATTTCTGCCCTATTTTAATCTTACCAGTTTCAAAGAGAAGGGAGTGGATCACACACACACACACACACACACACACACACACACTCTGCACGCAAGCGCACACCCACCCACACCCAACACAGGGTGATAATAAAGTATCTTACTCCTTCCCACCACCGAAGTCTCACTTTGTTAAAAAAGAAAACTGCAGAACTCTTCAATGGTTTCCCTTTAGCTAATGGTTTCTGTGACCTTAATTGCTGCCATCATTGTTATTTCTTGTATTTCAACATAACAAAATTCAAAAGCAGCTTCATCATCAGGAACATGTACCTGAACACCTGTATCACTGCAGGGGTACCTAGGTATTAATAACTGCCAAATTCAGTGATCAAACTCTTTGAGTTCCACAATAAGATTTAATTAATGTGAAACTCAGTATCATGTTTCAGACCATTGAAATTACCGGTTAAAATACAAATAGCTGAAGACATGATGTAAAGGTTAAGTACTTGGTTTTGTTAACATATTTACCAATTAAAGTCACAAAATATTCCTCATTATTATTCATGCAGGTAATTGAGAAAAAAGATAGTGCAGAAATTAACTTCAAATAAAAAATTATTCCTTCCCTTCCTCCCATTTCCCTATATTCTACAAAATGTTTTCCCTGGGACTCAGCCTTGAAAAGGCCACTACATATTAGTGTGACATGCATTACTGTTTGCAATTAAAAAAGCTAACATTGTGGTGACTGTAAGTACATTATAAAAATGTCCACATGCATAAATCTAAAAAAGGTTGAAAACCTACAGTAAATCTACAGTATATTGTTTTACATTTGACCACTGGTTTGTGTTATGTAGAAGTCATAGATTTGGTAAAGCATTGTAACAATTTAGGAAGGCATCTAAATCTTTAAATTCTGGATGAATATTATGTTTTAAACTACAAAATTGCATGAAGGCTAACTTGAGAGACTTCCTATCATTCTAAAATTCCTCAAGCTGGACCAATCATTTTTAGGACACTTTCTGACAAATATCACCCTTTGAAAGCAATATAATTTCATTTGTTCCAGTTTATGATCTTAACCTACACAGGGCTGATCTCATTATTCATGGAATATCAAATATGATAGGAAGACAAACCTGAGAAACATTTACAATACAATAGCAGAACTTGCTAAATTCTTCATCAGCACTCTCTAGGGGGTGAAAAAAAACTTCATAAGCCTTTCTCTTCTTTATTTTAGCAATGGATTGTGGAAAATGTGCAGTTTTATCTCAACATGAAAATATTTCAATGCATGGTGATCTTGCCTGACGAGCTTAGTATTTTCTGCATAACCGTTAACAGGAACTCGTATACGACTCTCTTCCATCCTGTGGTAAAGGTCAGAAAAAAGCAGCAAACTGGGAGGGAAATAACTGATCACCAGAGTCATAATATCTGAAGGCTTTCAGAGGATGTCGGTTTCTCCCTCCTTCTGACTGGTTGTCTCCATTTTCTTCTTACAGCTCATAAAATCATTGTGGGGTTGCGGGGAGGGGGAGGGAAGAATAGGAGGATTCTAGGAAATTTTTCTTTTTCTCTCCAGATTAAAAAGTTCTGTATCTCTCCTTAGTTTGCTTCTCTATGCAGTATTTGACTTGCTCAGTTCCTGCCTGATTGCTGGAAAGAAAAAGGATTGAAAGTAAATACAACTACAAGGTGCTATGAGTAACTCATTCTTTTTTTTTTTAATTTATTTTTTTAGTTGTAGGTGGACACACAGTATCTTTATTTCATTTTTACATGGTGCTGAGGATTGAACCCAGTGCCTCACACGTGCTAGGCGAGCACTCTACCACTGAGCCACAACTCCAGCCTGAGTAACTAATTCTTAAGAAATTTTAAGGATTATATTCAAGTACACTGATTTTTTTTTTTTTTTTTTTTTGTACTAGGTGTTGAACCCAGGGGCGTTTAATCAGCGAGCCACATCTCCCCGGCCCTATTTTGTATTTTATTTAGAGACAGGGTCTCACTGAGTTGCTTAGGGCCTCACTAAGTTACTGAGGCTGGCTCTGAACTCCAGAGATCCTCCTGCCTCAGCCTCCTGAGCTGTTGGGATTACAGGCATGCAGCACTGTTCTTGTCAATACATTGATYTTTGCAGCTTTCATTATCTAGATATTTGTTTTATTACAAAGATGATACTAATTCTTAAAGTGTATACATTTATTTATTTTCCTTTTTGTATACAAAAAAGAAACCAAAAACCCAATTCTGTGGGCTCAACATCAAGAGGACAGTGGGATAACATGAGTAGAGGTAACCTAAAGAAAAAATTTTCCCATCCAGTTTTTCAAATAACAGACAACATTTGAAACTTAAGGATCTTGTTTATCCTTATTTTTAGAAAAAATTTCCATTATAAGCTGGAGAGCTCCTCCCTGATATCCTAAGCCAAACAAAGAGCTTGATACTATGATAAAGTTATTATCTTTAAGTAATAAAAATTTTCTTTATTTGCATTTTCTTAAACACAGCTCTTCTTAATATTTTAAAGAGGTAGCAAATTTACTCAGAGACTTACCATCAATGAGCTCTTCTTTTAGCTTTGTTAATTCTTTTCTCATTTCATCTAAAATGTCCTAAAATATTAGAGAAAAACACCAGGTTGGGGAAGAGAAATTACTACTAAAAGGTTTCTTATTCATATAAAAATCTTAAGAATGTTAAAAAATGGGATGAGCCATTTTTTGTTTCCAGAGTCCAACTTTGGTAAATTTTTGCTTATTCTAGCCTAGCAAGATATGAAATAGAATGCTTTCTAAAACTAAAATAACTATTTTGTTATCCAGTGAAAAGTATGATTCAAATAGTTTTTAGAAAAGACAACAGTCTTCTGGTAGTAGTCTGAAAGGTAATATATAAAAGAAGTTTCAAGGAGGAGGATGTTACTGGACAATCGGCTCTTGGCAAATATTGGTTACCTGGTGTTAAGTATGGGGATTTCTTAGGAATCACCATAGCTGCCAAGCAATACTTCAAAGAATCTAGGATTCTTTTGGAGGGCATTTAGGATTTTTCAGGGGCTRGCTTAATGAAGCAGAGATAAAGATGGACAGAACCCTGCTGGACCCACACCATCCAACACAGAAGGCACCAGCCACACATAGCTCCTGAGCACTTGAAAGTGGCTAGTTCAAATGATATGAACCAGAGTTCAAAGACTTAGTATGAATAAGATAATGTGAAATAACAATAGAATTTCAAATATATTAACAATATACTGAAATGAGCTTATTTCAAATACATCAGGTCAAGTAAAACATTAATTTCACCATTTTAAAAATATTACTAGAAAAACTTAAAACATGTATGTTGTCTACATTATATTTCTGTTTTAACAGGGATGCCCTGGATACTTCTTCAAGAACTGTGGATCTGAAGCTAAATTGGTGAAAAACAACTATCTTTGGAAGGATTAGTTTTAAATTATGTGACTTTAACATTGCATACTTTAGGAAAAATTAAACTGCTCTGTTAAGATTCATTAATGAAAAAATTTTTCAATTATAAAATAGCAAGGAAACCGAGACACAATGGTTATTAATGTGAGCTAATAGATATACTATTTTCAGATTAAACTTCAAATAAACCCTCAAATTCAATCTATTCCCTTTTTCTACTCCATTACTTCAGATAATTTAAGAATTTACCATGTGTTCAGACGTGTGCAAATGCTCAATGTTAAAGCATTTTCAAGAAATGAAAGACATACTTAATATAAAGCAAAACAAGGTCTTGATTATCAATGACCACATGCTTTCCTTTCAAATTACATAAAATTTAACATTTCAAATAGTTTTTCAGTTCAAAAATTAGGTTTATCTAAAAAAAATTATTTCATCTCTTAGAAATAAGACTTTAAAACTTGCACTCTCATCACCTGTTACTCCTTCCTGAGTATATAGGTATTAAATATAATGCATTATGTATTCAAAGTATAAACAATATCTTTTTCTTTTAAAAAACTGAGATAACTGCACACATTTGTTTTGTTACCTGTATACTCTCATAATACTTTGCATAAATTCCTTGACATGAAATTGCTAGAGTCAATGGCTTTTGAGTTGCTTCCCCAAAGTGCCTCTTAAAAAGCAGAAGTATGAGAGTGCTTATCTCCTCACGTTCTTACCAAACTGAGATTTGTTGAGCCCATTTTCCCCAAAATGGTAAGGGAAAGTAGAAGCCCATGGTTTTCTTACAATTGCACACAATGCACTTACACATACAAGGTATCTTTTAAAAAGAAACCAGTCCAAGTAAAGGAAAGCACCCACCTGCTTCAGTCTGTCATAGTCAAGTCCTTCTGTCTGGACTCCATTGGCACTGGGCTGTGATGAGGGTGTGGATTTTGGTCTGTACAAATGTAATTTCCAGGATAGGTTAAACCACACTTATGATTCTATGAGCTCATAAAAAATTGTAACTTTACCAACCCAACACCAGATTTAAACACATTTCTTAAATAAAACACATTTTGTTAAAAAGTTAAGTGTCAAAATCATGGGACTGATTAGAACAGAAAACCAATATTTTTAACTTTTTTACATTAATCAATAAAAAAATACAAAAATTTGAATATTTACTGTAAGACACTTCTGTTTACAAATTCTATGCCTCAGTTTACAGGAAGAAAACATTTTAAAAGCATGATTTCTTTGTATCTTTTTATTCCTTTTTTTTCTTTCTTTTCTTTTTTTTTTTTTGTTTGTGGTGCTGGGGATTGAACCTGTGGCTTTGTGCATGCAAGGCAAGCACTCTACCAACTGAGCTATATTCCCCAGCCCTCACCTTATTCCATTTCTAGCATTAAAACAAACAAGAATGTTGAAAGAATGATAATAAGATTAGCAGTACATTCATATCTAATTGGCTATGTGGCTATTTCCCTATAAGGTTTTTATAGAGACATCATTTGAATGCTGTTTCAGACCAAGTACTTCTAAAAACTTACATGGTTTAAAAAAAAAAAAAACTCAACAAGGAAATGATAGAAGCTAATGACCAATAATAATTACACACTTAAAAAAAACTTAGCTTCTATTAAAAATTTTACATGACAAGTCTTAGAGATTAGGCATATTTTAAGCAAATGTTTCAACACCAAATAAATCAGTCATGCCTCCCTCTCCAATACTGGCAATAAGAGAAAAATCCTCAGTGGAAGACCTGAAGTTCTCCTTTATTTTCTGGTTTAGCACAGAAGTGGCCAATCTCTAAGAATCATAAGTCAATATAATTCGAGACCATTTATTAAATCCACATGTATCTTCAATTTTGGAGAGTTCCAACATTAGAARTCTGAACTTTTTCAATGTTATAATTTCATAATTCATAAAATATAATGCCCATAGGCATTGCTCATGAAAACAAAATACTGGGTTAATTTATTTTAATACCCAAACATAGTACTGCTTAAAATGTCATTATGAATAGGTATTAGGTATCTGCTTATATGAACAAAGGAAAACAATAACTTTCTGATGTTATCCAACAAGCAGTGAGTTAGGCACTGAAGAGGATAAGAAGATTTGTATGAAATATTTCCTTTCCTCTTGTGAGGATATACCTTCTTATTATGTGAAAGAGACAACTTAATTCCACAGTCATTTAAGATTTACTGAGATTCACAGTATGTAAGTTCTTTTTTTTCTTCTTCTTTTTTTTGGTGGTGCTGGGGATTGAACCCAGGGCCTTGTGCATGCAAGGCAAGCACTCTACCAACTGAGCTATATTCCCTGGCCCCACAGTATGTAAGTTCTAATATTTCTGTGCAGTCAACTCTAGTAAATTTTTTTTTTTTAAATATTGGGGATTGAACCCACGAACACTTTGCCACTGAGCTATGCCCAGTTCTTTTTTTCTTGTATTTTGAGACAAGGTCTCATTAAATTGCTTAGGGCCTCACTAAGTTGATGATACTGGCATTCAACTTACAATCATACTGTCTTAGGCTCCTCAATCACTGGGATTATAGGTATATGTCACCATATCTAGCCTCCTAGTAAATATGCTTGAAGGTTGAYAAATTGCATTCTATGTACTCGTGCTATCTATTCCTGCTCTCCAGAATTAAATTACTAATTATTGTTTTGTTTTTAATCATATTTAAGTAGCATAACTAACTAGCTATTTTCTCTGAAGCTATATAATAAATATCTCCAAAATTCATGTGAACAGCTATAATATGCTACATGACTGAGCAGTATGCTGTAAATATATCCTATTTCTAAACAAGTAAAAAATTATAAGTGTTATAAACAATTGAAGAAACATGCAATTTTTATAAAATTTAATTCATGCTAACATGCAATCCATCACCACCACCACCATGAGAATTAACTCAAGGGGGGAACTTTTCATACTGAAGGAAAGACGTAATCACCACTTTTTTTAAAAAAGGTTTTTCAACATTACTATGTGTACGATGTGTGAAAGAAGTGAGAAGATTTCATTGTTAAATACTATATTTCTAGCAAATTTTCTCAGTAAATAAATATTTTATTTAGAACAATTACTCTAACTCAGTATAAAGCAGGAAAAACTATTTTATTACTGCAATATAAACATTTTATGGAGTTTTAGATGACAAAATTAAATTTCAAATGTTGATCATCATAGCATGAAAATAGTTATAACAGATAGGAATTTGATCAGAGTCTGATTACAGAACTCCTAATCATAAGCACCCCCTCTGTATACTATTCAATTCATGTTTTTCAGTAAACTTAATGTGTATTTTATAAAACAGATGCGTATGACAACATGAATATATTTAATGTTTTCTTAACCCATGTTTTCAACATAATTAATAACAAAATACAAGGGTTTCTCAGAGGATTGTATTGTTTAATAAAGAGTGTTGACTCTAGACACCTGCCTATAAAATAACTGTACCACAGTAAATTCCCATTCAGCCAAGTTCTATAAATAGCGAAAAAGTGCTTGGTTTCATTGTCAAAATTTTTATTATTTATTATTATTTTTCTATCTTTATGTATTTATTTATTTTTATGTGGTGCTGAGGATTGAACCCAGAGCCTCAWGCGTGTGAGGCAACGCTCTACCCACTGAGCCACAGCCACAGCTCWTTGTCAAAATTTTTAATTGAGAAAGAAACAGATGTTTTATCTCCCCACACTTAATCCTTTTGTGTGTGTACACATGCATGCATGCAAGCTACACATCCCCTCCCAGCCCTGAATGATTCATATCTTTTAAGTTTTCTTCATTAAAAAATGGCATAAAAGGCACATCCTAGAAAAGAATCAGCTCAGGATATTAGGTTAAGTTATTAAAGATGATTTACTATACAGTATCTAGGAAACAGATTTTTCTCAAAGAATATCCAGAACTGTGGCTATAATAGTGTCCTGTGTTCTAGTAACAACCAGCACAAGATCTTCTTTTCCACGCTTTAAAAGCCTGTCTCATAATCATGATCAACCTAGACAATATATATGGCCTTAGATTTCCATTGTAGTTATTTCTGTTTTTTACCATTTTWTATTTACCCTAGTCTGACTTCAAAGTAATGGCAGGTTTTTGTTTTTATTGAAGTTTTCAAAATAAAGCTAAAAATGAGAGACTCAATCTTCCTGAATATCCTTCTTGTGGTGATTACCAATCCAGGTAGAAAAAGCTCAGCCCTATCCTGAACATGTTATTTAAAAGTCTCAAACCACAAAGTCACAGCAGGATGATACCTGTGTAATGAATCATAGGACCTGTTGTCAAAAACAATCTGATTTTTCCTTGGAGAATCCCGTCTATGGAGGGGAAAACCATTTAAAGGAATATACAATAGAACTTTAAAAAAATAATCCTCATGATGTTAATGCTTTACAGGTTTTTTAGTTATAGCAAACAAAACAAGAATTAAAGGAATCTGTTATCCTTAAAATAATTGTTTTCTTCAATAAAAAAAGATATGTTGAGACTCATTTTACTTATGTGAGGATACCATTTACTTGACAATTACAGAAAAATTTTTAAAAATTATTACACAGTAGCACTTTTGTAGGCCATAGGCACAGTAAAACTTACCAATTATTCAACCAGTATTAAAACACAAAGAAAATTTTATTACAGTGAATATTAACTAATAGACTTAAAATCATTATGGCTTGTGACAAAATTATACTCAGATATATAAGAAACTTTTTTCCCCATTGCGAATACAAGGATCAGTAAGGTTCTTTTTATGTGTATGTTGCTGAGAATTGAACCCAGGGTCTTGCCCACGCCAGGCAAGCACTCTGCCACCAAGCCACACCCCTTGCCCCAAGATCAGTAAGTTCTCAAATTAAAACCATAGAAATAATTCACAAACTTTGCAATGTTATKTTCTAGTCATAGTTTGAAACATTTTCAAAAACCTTCTTGCTTTTATTATCCTGACATYTTCATTTAATAAATTCAGCATAATGCAGCACCTCAATATTACTTAACTCATCTTACCATAACATTCACATGGATGTTACAAAGAGAAATGAGTACTTTCACTACAAGGCAAGGATTAGATTCATAAACATAAAACAGCCAAGGTATTTGCTTTCAAAAAGAAGAGGGAAGGGCTGTGGTTATAGCTCAGTGGTAGTGTGCTTGCCTAGCATGTGTGAGGCACTGGGTTGGATCCTCAGCACCACATAAAAATAAATAATCAAAAAAATAAATAAAGGTTGGGCTGGGGTTGTGGCTCGGTGGGAGAGTGCTTGCCTAGCATGTGTGAGACACTGGGTTCGATTCTCAGCACTGCATATAAATAATAAATCAATAAAATAAAGGTCCATCAACATCCAAAAAATAAAAAATAAAGGTACCATATCCATCTACAACTAAAMAAAAAAAAAGTAGAGGGGAAGAGGGGAGATAACTTAAAAAGGCAATATAATTCTTCATCTTTTAAACAGATTTTTAAAATCTAAAGTTTAAAACTGTTTTTGGTGAAACTTTATTACATAAATGGTAGAAATATATAACCTATCAAAAGTAGTACAAGAGGGGCTGGGATTGTGGCTCAGTGGTAGAGCGCTTGCCTGGCATTTGTGAGCACTGGGTTCAATCCTCAGTACTACATAAAATAAACAAATGTGTTGTGTCTATCTATAACTCAAAAAATATTTTTTAAAAAAAGAGTAAGTAGTACAAGAGAGGTCAGGAAATACTCAGGTGTATCAGAATTTCTGTTTTGGTACAGGCTGGGAGGGAAAGCATCTAATGGAGTTGAAATATGATTAGCAAGATTCAACTAATCCATATAAAAAATGCTTTGAAAATGATGACCTTTCAAGCACTTAAACTTCCTTTAAAAGTATGGAGAAAAAAAATCTTTCCAAGAACATTTTTTCTTCACTAAATGAGACCAAACAAATCAAAGATCTTATTATATTTGGAGCATTTCTCTTTCATGTCCTTTCCAAGATACAACTTTAACCATCAACTCAGGCTTATTTTTAAATAAACTCACTTATCTGATTCCTGTCAATGAAGTAGAAATGCAGGGTAATGACAAAAAAAAAAAAAAAAAAAAAAAAAAAAAAAAAAAAAAAAATGAAATGCCTGTCCCAATTTAGATCTTAAAAGGACAAATGGCCATATATCCCAGTATGTTATTAGACATTGATCCTTTGGGATTCTTAGTTTATCTGATTCCTGTCAATGAAGTAGAAATGCAGGGTAATGACAAAAAAAAAAAAAAAAAAAAAAAAAAAAGAAAAAAAGGAAAGGAAAGGTCTCTTCCCTGTCACAATTTAGATCTTCAAAGGACAAATGGCCATCACAGCCCTGTACTCTGTTATATACTTGAAAAATCAGGTTTCCTAATGTTCTACTGAAGAAAAAGTATAACTATTAGAGATATGATAGAAGGTCACTTCAGTTCTGTTCTACTGAAAAAACATGTTGACCAAAAGCAATTCTCTTCATTTTCTTCTGAGCTTAAATATAACCATCTTTCAGTTATTACAAACCAAAAGCTTTTATACATTCAAAAAGGCTTGGGTTCTTTGTGGAGCTTAAATAATTGTGTCATCACCAAATCTTCTTTGCTGCCAGCAAAAAAAACCAAACAAAAGCCAAATCCAAATTTAGATTTAGGACAACACAGAGCAGGTTTGTGATACTATGAAGTCTATCTTTGTACTTACTATTCTTTAATAGGTTTCTATAATTAGAGTCAAGTTTGCTTTTTATGAGGCAAAAATAAGATAGGTAGCTCAAAGAAAAGTTAAACAGTTTCTTTAGTCTCTAAATACATATCTTTTTTTTTTTTTTGGTCTGGGAAAAATATGAGCCTTTTAAACTGTTTCATAAACCAAGAAAAAATTTCATCTATGTTTAAGACCTATGACTTAAATTCAGCCTTGATAATCAAGTATGCTAGCTAGGAAATACTTTGCTTGACTCTGCCCCCATGGTAGTTTCTGGGTACTATCTTTATAATTTGATTATGATTAGAAATTTCAACAGAGAGAGCAAATTTCTATTTCATAAATTCAAAGTTTTAAGTTTTATTCTACTGTTATAAACTACAGTCTTTTATCTCTAGCTGGTTATCAGTTTAAAATACTTGAAAAAAAAAACCCTTTGAAGGATGTCATTCAGACTAATGGGGAAATGTGAATGTATATTATATACATTCACATTTATTGTTCAATGTTAAATTTCTTGGAGTTGTAATGGTACAACTCTGGTTACAAAGGATAAGTCCTGATTCTTCAGAAAAGCTAAAATATTTAGGGTAAAGCAGCACTTATTTGCAATTTGCTTTTAAACTATTCAGAAGGAAAAAAAGTATGAATATGTATATAGTTAAGATGAATGTGGCAAAATGTTAACATGTGATGACTATATGAGTATTTGCTGTAACATACTTTCAAGTTTTCCATAGTTTTAATTTTTCAAAATAAATAAATTGGGAGGGATAAAACTATTGTTAAAATTTCAGACCAACTGGTTAATAAATACAGGGTAAAATTTATCAGGCACTCACTAGTAAAAATACATTGGGCTCAGTGGCTGTCCAATAGTAGATGAATTACGATTATTTTATGTGCTCCTTTTGTGAAATTTCTAATCTATAATTCTTTCTATAGTAAAACTATATTTCCTTCTTTTTAGATACACGTGTAATATAAAACTTAGAAAAAAAAATTGATACCTGGAGATAACAGGTGACTTGCTGCCATTCATTGTATTTGTCCTTTCCCAAGGTTTTCTGGTTGGTTCTTCAAAAGAAAGGAACAAATGTTACTCTAAACATTTTTATGCGCTTTCCAGAGTTATTGTGAAACAATAAAATACTAAAATACCATCCTGTTTATATAGATTGTAGATAAAAGTTATTTAAATTCTAAACATTAATTTAAATAAATAAGAATTCTAACATGCAGTTTCAGACCTTAAAATAAGGAAAAATTAATAAGCAGACATTTCTCTAGAAGAATCTAAGATTACAAAATCTAAATATTATAGTTCTATAAACCAAATGGTAAGAAGTTTCTCTAATAAACATGTAATCAGAAAGATGAATGAGATAGTATCTACACTATTTTAATCTATTTTTAGTGCCAATAATAAAACAAAAAAAAATCTGTAATGTGTTCCTGTACTTCAGCAGTTCATAAATCCAAACAGTTCTCTTGGTAAAAAATTTTAAAAAGCTCAAAATAAATTTCAGAATCATACAATTTTATTATATTTCCTTCATAATCAATTCTTTGAAATTAACAGATAATTCAGTTAAATATAAGTAAACTCACTTTAAGCTCTCATTATAAGACACTAGGTACTGAATTCACTGGTTGCCTATGGTGCTTTGAACTTTTTTCTAATTTGGCTTACTCTCTGATGCTGTCATTGGTTTCAGTGGATGAATGGATAAAATGAGAAGTGGAAGAAAGGCATTTGAGCCATGTGAAAATCAAGTCTATAGATAAATTGTGATCTTGCTGTATAGTTTTAACCATAAAACTGCTGAGTTCCAATGTAGCTGCTCAACTGGCTTCTGCATTCTTTTAGGCATCTTTTATATAGTCTCTTAAAAATACATTTATGTGCAAAACTAAATGAGAACTCTTTCATGAAGAATGGCTTTTGATTCTAGATTTCTGCTATGTGCAGGCATTGTAAAATCTTCACCAATCTTGCGTTACTCATTAATTAATCACCTCTCTTCCCTTTTTCACAATACTTTTAAATTTCTTCTTTTATATTCTAACAGTTAACATATTCTCTCAATGACTGCCACAGTGGTGGCGAGATCCTGAGTTGGCTGGGGAACATCAAATAATCAGATGGTATCCAGGCCAGAATCAGAAACACATCTAACACACCAGCACAAAAGGTGAAAAGAGGGAAGTCCTTAGTAAAAAYGAGGTACATCTTGAACAGGGAGGGGAACATTCATTAGGGCAGTGTCACCAAAGAGGCAGGTAGAAAGAAAAGTAATTCCAAAGAAGGTAAGACGCAGCGGCTTTTTAACCACTGTCTGAGGTCCTTTCTCAATTAGCCAAACAAGAACCCTCTTTTAATCTTAAACAGGCTCAGCTGGCTGGGAGAAATAAGGCCATCTTCTTTAAGGGGTTCTAGGTGTGTTTCAGGAGGAAGAGCCTAGGCTGGTCTTTGGAAACACTGGCAGAGCTCCCCAATTGGTTTCTCTGACTCAGTCTTTCCTGATTCTATATCACAATACTCACAAGTGCCATTTATGTGCTGAAAACAGTTCCAACTGATCATACATTAACCCAGTATATGTAGGATAAACTTAACTCCTGAGCTTTATCCTCAACTCACTTGTCCAAGAGGAATTCTCTACTCTAGACAGGTGAGTCTAGAGTTTTTTTTTTTTTTTGTTTCCAACTCACTTGTCCAAGAGGAATTCTCTACTCTAGACAGGTGAGTCTATTTACTATCTCTTCCTCTCTTTTTGCTCAGCTTAGACTCCATGTCTTTGTTCATGACATACTTCCTGAAATATCATTCCTTCCCCTACTTTCAATCATACCAAATACTCTACGATGTAACAATGGCCCAGATAGCACCACATAAAATCTCTTCCCTCTCTGACATATTAATATTCAACATATGGTTATAAAAGATTAACTTTTCCTTAAGTGAAGCTCATCTTCTCAACTAGATTAGAGTTTTCTGTGCTCCAGGTCTTTATATTTCAGTTCTTTTTGGCCTATGAAGTGTCTGACACAATGCCAATTAAAAATACTAAGTGAAACAAGAGGGGGGGAAAAAAGGCCACAAGCTCTTCTGAATGAATTCATTGTATATGAATGCAAATACACACAAAAATTCATGCTTTCATTTTTCATTTTTGAAATAAGTAAATATATGTTAGGCAAGAACAGTCCTTAAGCTGGGACCCATGGATAATGTTCTGGGAATCAGGAATACTTTCAAACTGTGAGGAAATTTGTATAAAAATGATCTTTCCTTCTGGGGAGAGAATTTACAACTCTCATATATTTCTAAGATTCTGTAACCCCTTAAAGAATAATTTACTTCTAAATTATCTGTGGCTTTAATAGCTGTACATATAATTAATTTTGATTTATAACAGCAGACTGCTAAATAATGAGACAAAACAAAAAAATAATGAAATTGAGATAATAGAAATGAGACAAAAACAAAAGTATGTTTTAGAAATAAAACTCTAAAGGCAGCTGGAGTCTCTAAATCAAAATATGTAGGATTTAATGTAGATGTTTCTCTAAAATGACTTCGACAGACCACTGTAGATATTAATTTATCAATTTTATTTGTTACTTCATTCCAAAATAGTTAAGGAGGCAAAGAGCCCAGTTCTTAGTCTGATCAAATACAAAGAAGAATGAGTAAATATGTCACAATCTCCAAGATGGGAATCTTGGATGGAATATCACTAAGTATTTCCARTAAAATATGTTTTGTTAATATTCTAAGTAACATATGCCATGTCCAAGAATTGTCAATGTCAGAAATTTTACTGTATTCAAAAAATGTTTCCCAAAAGCTTAAAAAAATTTTTAGCTTACAAATTAGAAGTTTTATTTTCTTGATTATCAACACCCAAAGGAATGGTTAAAATGACAACCTTCGAAATTTGAGAATGTTCTGAAATAGAATGCAGGTCTACTCACTTAACTTTTACCTTAAAGAACTATTAAAAATATTCCCATTGTCTAATAATGTATTTTCCTTGTTTTAGTGGACAACACACAGAGATGTGTAAAATAACTTTCAAAGAAAAATGTTGAGTTTTAACAGATCTCACATTACCAGAAAGAAAGCAACAGCAGCTTCTGAGATTATAAAAGCAGAGAAAAGTCAATGCTTTCAAGTGTAAACGAAGAACTTTAACATCTTAGTGACCAAGCAGTCAGTTGGTTCAAACATGGGAAAGGGGATATTTTTAATTAGGAAGTAATATTTAGGGAAAATTTATAAAGGTTAAAATATCTTTCCTGAACTTACCAGGTGTGCTTGTTGAAGAAGCCTTGGAAGTTACAGGCTCTGAATCTTCCTAAATATGCAGAAATATATGTATTAATATCACATTCACTATTGCTGTACTGATTTAACATTTTACATGTTCCCTTTCCATATTCTTTATGTCATTCCCCACTATTTCCTTCATCTATCTTCTCTTCCTTCCATTCCAACTTAGGCATCATCCTTCATACCTTCCTAACAATCCCAACTCCCATTGTCCACACAGCTCCTTTTTTTTTTTTTTWAATTTTTTTAAGTTGTTGATGGACCTTTATTTATATTTATATGTGGTGCTGAGAATCAAACACACTGCCTCACACACACTATGCAAGCGCTCTACCTCTGAGCTACAACCAGCCCCCACACATCTCCTTTCTTGAGTTTCTCATGGAGAACCTGCACTAGCCAATGATATGAAGCCAGACAGATTTGAGAGATGGCATGAAAGGCAGTCAAATGGTGCAGGGAAAACAATTAGGTGTTGAACATCAACATATAGAACACATACAGAGCAAAGTTTGTACAGCTGAATGGGGGGTGGGGTCCTGGGATGACAAACTGTTGATTATTCAAATTCTTCATTTTGCATTAATACAAGGAAACTGAGAGCCTAAGAGATGAGGGGGGGGGACGGGGGACAAAACCCTAGTAAGAGGTCATTCACTCATTTAAAGGTAGGGCGTAACAATAGAACTGATTCTATTATAGGTTTGAACTTCAGTGGTCTTCCCACAACTCCACATATTCAACTCATTTTAATAATGCCATTTTAATTTTGTAAATAATACTCAAAAGCCATTTTAAAGATATGCATACTTAAAAATAAGCAAATCTAAATTCAAACTAATTAAGTTCATATTAAATAATCTCTGACATGTTTTTGTAAGAAGCTGTGCTTGAGGGCTGGGGTTGTGGCTCAGCGGTAGAGCGCTCGCCTAGCGTGTGCAAGGCCCTGGGTTCAGTCCTCAGCACCACATAAATAAATATTAAAAAAAAACAAGAAGCTATGCTTGAATTTCATGTTTAAGGTGTGAGGGGTTATTTTTATTCACTTACACTTCTGTCCTCTTTTTGTTCTGCTTCTATTGTTGATCCCTTTTCAGCAATTCTTCTCCTAAAAAGATAGCAAATTGGATTTTTTAAAAAATCATCTCTTATTATAAAATATAAAAATTTCTCTAAGAGGGAAGAATTGACTCGTTATCTTCAGAATAAAATCAACAAAAATTCTCACCTCCTGGCCAGCAGGGCACTCATTTCTTCCATTAAACCACTACCCCCTAAAGGAAGTGGTCCATTTCCACGACTTGTATCTGTTTTGGATGAGTTCACGCTGATGGTACTTCCTCCACTTGGGAAAGAGGCATCCTCCATCTTAATGAAAATACATACACATAATGATTTCCTATTTTAGACAATCATACTCATGAATGTATTACATTAAAAATACAAGAAACATCAGCATTAATTTTAAAAAGTACTCAAATATTATTTTTTATAACCTTAAGCACCAATAAAGTGAACAGTATTAATTTATACATCAATGGAAGTTTTATCAAAGTTAACATTACTAATAATAAGATGAAACAATATCATGTCTTCTTGTACAATACACTGAGAAGGCCGTAACTGTTGGTATTTTTGCACCCAAATTGTATAACCTGAATCTGATATTGAGAAAAATTCAAATAAGTCAAACTGAAGGTCATCTAAAAAATGTAAACAATCAAAACATACAAAAAAACAAAACCCTGACAATTAAAAAAAAATGTCAAAAATTTTGAAAAAGAAACAAAGATTGAGGAACTGTCACAGATTAAATTTGGATACATTTGTGGACTGTCATATTCTATCAATGTGAAATTTCTTGATTTGGTAATTACACTATGATCATGTAGGTAAACATTCTTTCTCATTCAAAATACAAAATGAACTACTTAGGAAAATGGGCATGATGTTTCTATCTTACTCTCAAATTATGCAGATAAAAACAATGTAATGATAAAATGTTAACCTAYAAATACAGATGACGGATTCACAGAAATCATTTATGCCACTCTGCAACTTTTCTGTAAATTTTAACCATTTTGATTTTTAACACAGGGTTTATAAAATTAGAATAATATATCCAGTATTTTAGATATTTAGAAARAATAAGACAGATTTAAAAATAGAGTAATTTGGAGACATATTTACCCGTGACACTTTCCTAAGTTTTGCTCCAGCAATTGCAGCTGCAAGTCCAGTTAAAGGGCGATTGTCTTCTGACACAGATCCGGAGAAAAATCCAGATGCGGGGAGGGGAGGGGCAGGAGGTGGTGGTGGAGGAGGGGGCACTTGATTAGGAAGTGGGGGAGGAGGAGGAGGAGGTGGAGGCCCGGAGGATGGCAGTGGAGGTGGTGGAGGAGGTCCTGGGGGAGGAGGAAGTGCTGAGGCCTGAGCAGGACATGGTGGGAGTGGTGGGGGAGGCGGGGGTGCAGGTGGTCCTAAAATAACACCTGCAAAGAAGAAATGTTAAAGACAGATCATCAACAATAGAGCCAAGTAATATTATTTTTTGTATATAGGTACACACAATGCTATGCTAAATTAAGTTGACTAATAAGTATATTAGTCAGCTGGGATTCAATTTATTACAATGTTTAAAGACTAAATCAGTTTTTTTTTTTAAATTTGTTTTAGTTATACGTGACAATAGAACGCATTTATGCACTTTGATACATACATACATACAGGGAATTAATTTCTCATTTTTCTGAATGTACATGTTGCAGAATCATATTAGTCATGTAGTTACATATACATATAGTAATAATGTCTGTTTCATTCTACTATCTTTCCTATCCCCACATCCCCTCTCCTCCCCTCTATCTCACTTCCCTCTATCTAATCTAAGGTAATGCTAATTCTTCCCTAGTGCCCATCCCACCCTGCCTTATTGTGAATTAGCATCCATAAATTAGAGAAAACATTAGGCCTTTGGTTTTGTGGGATTGGCTTATTTCACTTCTCACGGTATTCTCCAACTCCAACCATTTACTGGCAAATGCCATTATTTTACTCTTCTTTAAAGCTAAGTAATATTCCATTGAGTATACACACCACATTTTCTTTATCCATTCATCTATTGAGGGACACCTAGGTTGGTTCCATAGTCTAGTTGTTGTGATGAGCTGCTATATGTGGCTGATTTTAAGTCCTTTGGGTATAAACCAAGGAGTGGTTTTTTTTTTTAGTGTAGTTACATATATACATACAGTAATAATGTCTGTTTTAAAAACTGATCAGCAAAGGAAACAATACTAAATATATACTAAAATATAAAGCCAAATTTTTAGTAACTACTTATTTGAATGTTAGACCTTTAGTAATAGAACTATRCAACAGATCATCTAATAAAAAATTTTTCCCATCAGAATTTGGAAAATAAGCAAAATAAATGCTTGTAAAATTTGGGAGAGATAAGCATTCCAAACAAGTTATATAGTGGTAGTTAGTACTATTTGAAATAACAAATCCAAACAACCCATGTGAATTTAGGTGTTAACATATTCCACTATAATAAAGTCAGATATTTATTGTTTATAGACAAAGTGATTGGACTAAGAATATGAGTGAGAAGTGAGTCCTAGGCTCCAGTACCTTAAAAATGTTCTATATTTAAATCCCACATGTAGTCAAAAGTGACAATCATTGAAGGGAATTTAAAATCTCAAAATAACTCTCAGAAATAATAAATAATATAGAATATGAAGCGCAGAGTTGTTTTGGCCTTTGAAATGGGTATAGAAAGTGTTCAAGGCGCTAGGTGTAGTGGTGCAATGCTTGTAATCCCAGCAGCTTGGAAGGCTGAGACAGGAGGATTGTCGAGTTCAAAGCCAGCCTCAGCAATGGCAAGGCGCCAAGCAGCTCAGTGAATCCCTGTCTCTAAATAAAATACAAAATAGGACTGGGGATGTGGCTCGAGTTCAATCCCCAGTACCAAAAAATAAAAAATTCAAAAGTGTTCAAATCTTGTAAAAATCACAAAGGGAGTGAACAAGACTTTGATTTCAGAATATTGAACTACTAGATAATTCCCCCCTTAAGGTTTAAAAGAAAAACAAATGAAGTGCTATCTGCATACTGGGTGGTAACTGCTAATTTTTTCAGCCTAAGCAGTTGTACAGTAGAAAACATAAATGGTTCACAGTAGAGCACAGAGTAACAGGCTGTCCTGTGCAGTGTCATGAGTTCTGAGAATGAAGGAGGCAAAAAGGTCAGCTTCATCAGGCTGGTTTTTTCTCTCTAGTTCAGTGCTGATGTCAATAAAAACAAAACTATTCACAATGTTATTGTTACTTTTATTAGGAACTACAATTTTTAGAGAAGAGGTATATTTAGATCCAGATTATAAGAYTGTTTCAGCATCCTCTCTAAATCCTAAATATAAAAATCTAGTGGGGATGGGGATTGTTAAGCTTATTCTTAATTATATCCTCCCCATCCTCCCTTCCCCGATGCCATGGAATAAGGTTGTGTTAAGGAAGAGTGGAAAATAACTGTAGAGAATGCTATTCTCTCAGTCATCTCTTCTCCCACTATGTCAAGTAAGTTTTGGTCATATGAAGCCACTACYGTTCCTACAAAGTCAGGATTGGTTTTTAGGGTCCAGGTGACAGCCATCCTCTGAAAGTCCAATATGAGAAGCCAAACACAGAAGAGGCCAACGTGAAAAGGACCCAAGGACAAAACTGCTCCAGTGGAAACACTAGGATGTTTCATCTTATAAATCTGTCTCAGAAAGTAAAGGAAAACAATTTATATTATACATTTTGTGTGTGGTAGATCAAAAGGGTCAAGTTAGTCTTCCTAGTGAAATTTAAGTACTAGAAAACACCTTTTATGATAATGCAGAGGATAACAAAAGCTAGTTCAATATGGGAATTCCCCATCAATTATCCCAATACAACTGATCTAATAGAATAAACAAAATTACTTTTACCTTTAATTTTTTTAATTAAAAAAAAAAGTCGCATGGCACATAGACGTTCAGCTATTAAAGTCACCCTACCTTTTCTAGGCAGTTAAATTTGTTACTATGCAATACTCAAGTGATTAGTTGTTAGTAGCAATAATGAAAGCCTTACCCTGTTGGGCTGGAGTCTCGGCCGGCTGAGAGGCTGCCTGCAAGCCTGGCTCAGAAGCAGAGGAGTCTCCCAGCACAGAGTTTAGAGGAGTCTCCACAGAGGCAGGGGCAGCTGCAGAGGGAGAAGGGAGAACACTGGGCTTGGATGAGGGAGTTGAGGCAATAGGGGTGCTTGGAGGAGGAGAAGCTTGAGATCCACAGTGTGAGAGTGATGCGAGGGAAGGCAGTGGAGGCGGTGGCGGTGGCGGTGCTGCTGGCCCTGAGGTAGGCGGTGGAGACACTGGGTATGCTACTGAGTCCAGCAGCCCATTGGGTGCTGTCGGTGATGGAGGCATTTGGGGCACAGGAGAAGAAACACAAACGGGGAGGACAGGTCTTGGGCCAGTAGCTTTGCCGGGGGGACTGCTAATCATTATTGGAGGAGATGGAGGGAGGGGCGAGAAATTGGAAGTAGACCAGGCACAAGGCTTCGCAGCTGGAGACTGAGAAGAGGGTGTGTTCACAGGAGAAGAAGGTCGAGAGTTTTTGTTCAGAGGACGAGGAACTGTAGCATAATGGGGAAGAACTGGGTGGAAGGCTGAACCTAAAGATGTTGCAAAACGTGTCGCTGAGTGTCGCATTGGTGGTGTAGGGGGTGTGGAAGTAGGTGGCAAAGCAGTCACTACAGCGTAATCAGGAGTGGCATCTGACACTGGAGCTGAGATGACTTTAGCATATGATGGAGGAGGTGCTGAAGGAGGCTGGCAACTGGAATACTCAGGAAGTGGAGCATTATACAGGGAGCTGTCTGAAGATGGAGCTGGACAGAAGGTGGAAAGCAGCAGCAAAAGACAAGATAAAAAAGAAGAGAGAAAAAGGGAGCTAGTGAAGCCACGAAACCAGCAATCAGACAAAATGTATAAATGTAGACTACAGTTAGTACCAGAGAATTAGGCACATGTGCAAATAACCATTTTCACCCAAGAAAATTTTAACTTATAAATACATTATAAGATCCACAAAAGGATGAAGTTTTCTTTTTCTCTAATAAGTTAAATTGATGAATTTATTTTTTATAAGAAAAGGATAGTACAGTCTTAATTTTTTTATTTAGTCCACAAAAAGGACATTAAAATTACATGACTATGACCACAAACAGAATTTGGTTGCTTAAAAAAAAAAAAAAAGACAAGCAGCAAGACTGGCAAAATATTTACTACAAATGGTGAGGAACCTAATTCAATGCTTATTTGTAGAAGTTTTGTTTTGGTAGCCATAATTCCAAAAAATAGTTAGGCAGTTATAACAAATGAATTTAACTTAAACAACAAACCAACCGATATTTAACCAACCCACATTGGAACTTTTGATATAGGCCACAAGGAATTAAAATTCTTAAAATCCCACAAATGTTATTATACCTTGAATATTCAGTTATATTTCAACCTTATGTCTTTCAAAAAATTCCAAMAAATTTAGTAATTTTCATAAATACTAAAAAATATATTTAAATAACCAGTCAGTTTTAGAATATTTTCATTTACTGCTTTAATTCCTTCTTCAAAAACACTAGACTACTATTAGGGTAATTTCTTTTTTTGGCAGGGGGTGGAGTAACTGGGGACTGAACCCAGGGGTGCTTTACCACTGAGATATATCTAAGACCTTTGTATCTTGAGACATGGTCTTTTTAACTTGTTAATGTTGGCTTCAAACTGGTGATCATTCTGCCTCAGCCTCCTGAATGGCTGGGATTATAGGTGCATGCTACACACCTGGCCCAAATTTCTTACTGCATGGTACTATAAAACTAGGTACAATATTTGAGATGATTTGAGTAATTTCATGAGGGAAATATCTTCTAAATTCATGCAATATAAAAAATTTTCCATAAAAACACTTATACTTTAATAGTCATTTATAAGGAGGTTAGAAGATTTAGAATGCCAGAATAGAAGTTTCCAAGAGCTTTCTTTAAGTCTTTAAGCAATCAGAGTAATAAAATGAAAAGGTTAAAGCAGTAACTGAGGCACATTTTTCATACTTTCAAACTGTATTGCTCAATGCTAATCATCTCACATGCGAAATATACTAACATAAAATTACACAGAACTACATCCAAGCTTGGATGCAAGAACACACAATTGTCTCTAAGCTCCTTACCAGCATTTGATACTCTGCGTTCTCTTTCCCATTCCAACTGTTCCCTTTCCAGCTGCTCCTGTCGCTCCCTTTCTTGCCTCTCCCGCTCCAGGCGCTCTAGCCTCTCCCGCTCCAGGCGCTCCTGCCGGTCTCGTTCTTGCCTTTCTCTTTCCAGCTGCTCTTGTTCCAGCCGTTCCCTCTCCAGCCTCTCTCTCTCCAACCTTTCCCTTTCCATTCTTTCTCTCTCCAGCCTTTCCCTTTCCATCTCCTTCTGTCGTTGCTGTTCTTGCAGTTGCCTGAAAATGAAAATAATCCTCATTAGGATCATATTGACAGACTACTTCAGCACTTTGCACTAAAGTCTCTTTTTATTCTGTAATTTTTGTGAATTAAGTATTACAAATAAATGAATTTTCCATAATCATAAATCACTTTAATAACTAAAAAGCCAAGCCATTGATTTAATCATTTAGTGAAAAAAAAAGTTGTGAAATTACCATTTTCTTTCTCAAAAATACCATCTAATTTTAACTGTACAAGAAATACATGATCATTTCAAAAAATACTATGGCTAGCAACCAAGATAGTTAAATAAACATTTGCTAAATTAAAAAAAAAGTTGAAAAAAATAAATTTAAATCATTAAACTCTCACATCCAGAGGCAACTATAATTAACATTAACATTACACACACGTACACACACTCTCTTTCTCTTTCTTGCTCACACTTCCATTAACTTTAAAAGCCAAATAAATTAGAATTCTATTTCCCTACTACTCTGAAATCTACTTTCTTTTTCCTCACTTAATATATTGTGAAAATTATCCTAAGGCACTGAGTTTGGTAACTTTATTCTCTAAGACAGTGTATAATGTTCCACTGTTTAATTCTCCTAAAGGTTAAATAGTCTCTTATAGCAGGATGTAAGTTATCCTAGTATCATTACTAAGACAGCAATAAAGTTATCTCCATCTTTGAATCTTCTTCCAACTGCTTCTGTAAGACCAATATTGACACACCAATTTGCTAAGAGGAAAGGTATAAACTTCTTAAGATTTTGGCCAGGTGTGGTGGCATCTGTTTGTAATCCAGTAGCTTAGGAGGCTGAGGCAAGAGGCTCACAAGTTCAAGACCAGTCTCAGCAAGCGCTCTGCCACTGAGCCACAATCCCACCCCCAAATACATAGATTTTTAAAGCTTATAATCCAAAACAGTAATTCAGTACTCCAGCCCTCCTACCTGTTTACTATTCTTTTAACTGTTCTTGTTTTATCTTTAGCTATCTATTTTCTTCTAATGGAAAGATGTTTCCCACAACTCCCTCACAACACATACTTCTCATAATACAGTCATGGGAAAACAATTTGGCCAAATCAATATTCAGGTTTATTAATATATATAAATATATCATTAACATATATTAATTAATATTAACATATAATTTTATATTGATCACATAATATTTAATTTTATTATAATTATGCAAGCATATAATATAATTACTATAATGATTTAAGTACCATTCACAGCTGAAACCACATAGTATTCTGATTGCATTTCATTTTTTTTTAAAGGGAGAGAGAATTTTTTTAATATTTATTTTTCAGTTTTTGGCGGACACAACATCTTTATTTTATTTTTATGTGGTGCTGAGGATCGAACCCAGCACCCCGAGCATGCCAGGCAATCGCGCTACCGCTTGAGCCACTCCCCAGCCCTCATTTCTTATTCTACTTCTTAGTTGTTGTTTTTTTAACCCCCCAAGTTAATGCCTATTTCTCCAAACCATACAGTGTTTCTAATACAAAAAGTTTCAGGTAGAAGGTCAGGTATGGGTGAGGCAAATTTGAAATAATTATTGAATAAATGCATTTATGACAAGGGTGTAATGACTTAAAAAGACTGTTCAATGTGCCACAATATTCTAGGGCTTTCAGTCTTTATAAGAGTATCTACTGATGTAAGAAAGGGGCCAGGTCAGGTGGCACACAACTGTGATCCCAGTGGCTTGGGAGTCTGAGGCAGAAGGATTCACAGCTTTGAAGCCAGCCTCAGAAACTAAGCAAGATTGTAAGCAATCTAATGAGACCCTGTCTCAAAATAGAAAACAAAAAAGGTTGGGGATGTGGTTCAGTGGTTAGCGCCCTGGGTTCAATCCCTAGTAACAAAAATAAAAATAAACTTAAAAAAGGAAAGAGTACAATGCCAGAGAATATTTCAAAGTTCACTGAATCAAGTATGTAATTCATACATCTACAGAAGATTCTTGTTTTATAAGAAAGAAAAGGGTTCAACATCTTTAGCTAATTTTTAGCTTACTCACTGAAAAGATGCCTGTCACATAATTCCCTAGGAAAGTGTGTCAAGCAGAACTTTTGACTTACAAATCCTATGGTATAAATAATTCCCTCCTAAATTGGATGAGTTATAAAGCTGATTTTAAGGTTTTTAATCTCCAAACCAAGATAGTTGTATATCATTTTAAGGAGAACTTCCAAATTTATAAACCTTGCTTTTCTCACAATTATCGATGCCAATTCACATACTGGTAATCCATGAACTATGGAATAATTCTGACAGGCTAATTTCTTTTAAGTTAGAATGTGAATTTTCATAATTTGAAAGTTTTTGAGAAAACAATATAATATTTTCCCCAAAACAATTAAGTGCCCATGACCAACATTATAAATACTAAAGCATTTGAAAATAATTAGACCTAGGTCCTTCTACCACTAAAATATTTCTCTCCAAAAGAGCTATCCTCAAGTGTAAACAGATGCACAAAACACTGGCCAACAATGAGATCGATCGCATGCATGTGCACACACATGTTGTTTATATTACTTCAAAGACTTATTTTCTTTTGAAGCATGTAAAATATAAATATCAAATTTCAAAATGCAAATTCATCTGGCCTTGCCTATAATGAATACCCTTAGGTAAAGGTGGAGGAATTTCAAGTGACATAATGAAGTAGGTGTTTGGACTAGGGAAAACATTCTGAACTGATAACATTTAATAACACTGATGTTAATGACATTTGTCAAAAAATAAAAGTACATAGATGTTTTGATAGTGATGTGAGCATTTCACTTCTTTATTAATAAAAAGTTTAAAATGGATAAAATGAAATATTTTAAAAATATTTTTCAGTTGTAAATGAACCTTTTTTTAAAAAATTATTTTTAATAATTTAATAGCATGTGCCAGGCGAGCGCTCCACCGCTGAGCCACAACCTCAGCCATGTAAATGGACTTTAATTTCATTTATTTATATTCRATGCTGAGGATCGAACCCAGGGCCTCACACATGCCAAGCAAGTACTGTACCACCAACCCACAACTCCAGCCGCTAAAACAAATAGTTTTAATCTTACAAAGCTCTGAAGAGAATCCAATACTCACAATAGAAGCCGGTCAACTTTTGGTCCATCCTGCCTCTGAAGGTTAATGGGAGAGCTGTACACTTTCATTGCTGTGACTCCTTGGTTCTGTACTGGGATTAGTATTCCCCTTTTATAACTTTCAGATAGTAGCAGTGATTTGCAAACTATTTATAGATATTAACTAAATTACATTCTATGTTGAGACTAACATAGGACTGACTCATGTTTCTTAGAATATATTTTTCCATCACAGTTAAGGAAGCCAAATATCAATAATATGAGTAGAAAGCAAAAACTGGTTTAAAAAAATGATACATGTGAATAAAAAACAATACTACTTTCATATTATTATAGTAGAGCTTTTAGACCAATAATATTTGACATTTATAAATTCCAGTTAATACTTATTAAAAAAATTAAACTTTTTTAAACTTTAAAAATTAAACTTAAAAAAAATTAATACCTAGCTTAAAAAGTCAAACAGTATTACAAGGCTTATAATAAAACAGTAATCTTACAACAACCCTCACCACTTCTGATTTTTCTCCTTTAAAAGCCAACTACTTGTGGGGCACAGTGGTGCACACCTGTAATCCCAACAGCTCAGGAGGCTGAGGTCCTATGTGACTTTATGAGACCCTGTCTCAAAACAAAAATAAAAATGGCTGATGATGTGGCTGACTGGTTAAGCACCCTTGGGTTCTATCCCTGCTCCTCCCTCCATCAAAAAAGCCAACTACTTTTATTACTCTGATTATATTTTATTACTCTGATATTACACTAAATATAGTGATTTGTTAGAGCTATTCTTGATTTTACAGATGTAGATAATATATCTACTAACTTTCTACTATGYAAATTACTTAATTCCTACAATTCTTGACTCCCAAAACTTTGTTCTCCACTTTCCAAAAAGAAAAGGTCATAACACTATTTTGAATACATAAATATTCCCAAGTTATATCATTCACTTTTTAATGTTTATTTTCTGGAGTAATTTCTTACTCTAGGGGTAAAAAACTAGCACTTTTTTGCTGATTTTTTCCTATGTACCTATTCCTATCTCACTCCAAACTCTCCATCAGAACTATAAACCATCTCAACATGGTTAAACATATTAAGTGCTTGCTTCTTTTCTTTTCTTTCTCTCAAATACATCCATCAGAAGCCCTAAGAACTCCTGGTTCCAGTCAGATGGGCTGCTCCCCAACCTGGAAATTAMCTTCTCTCTTTCCTAAGAGAAATCCCCTATCTTTTTTGGTGGGGGGGGAGGGAAGCGGGGGTGTTGCTGAGGATTGAACCCAGGGCCTCGCACATGCTCTGCAAGTTCTGTAACATAGAGCTACATCCCTAGCCCTATTTCTTGGCTCCTACAAGGGTTTCATCACTCTTGGTTTACAATCTCATTTTAACAGAACACAACTTTCAATAGCTTCCTAGGAAACAATGCAGAAGATAGGGTTTTAGAACAGAGTTTCTGTTGGGATTCTAAAAGCTCTCTCATCTCCTTCCCCAAGCTTTTGAAATATTTTTTTTTGGGGGGGGGGCGGGGGGAACCCCTTGAGTTCAACCAGGGATTGAACTCAGGGGCACTCTACCACTGAGCCACATCCCCAGCCCTATTTTGCATTTTATTTAGAGACAGGGTCTCACTAAGTTACTTAGTGCCTCATGCCTCACCTTTGCTGAAGCTGGCTTTGAATTTGGGATCCTCCTGCCTCCTAAAGCCGCTGGGATTATAGGCGTGCACACCACACCTGACTTGAAATCTGTTTATTGTAGTATTCTAATTCTCTACAGTGATATACCCCAGTGATGGGTCATTTTATGTTTTTCCAGACCTGCTGGTCTGGGCACTTGGAGAGCCTTTTCAATTTGTCAATATCTACTTATTTACATATTATCTTTA